TTCGCCCCCACCCGCCCCCCCAAAACACATCTCTCTAACCATGTATAAAATACCCTTAAAAATGGATGGAAAATTGGATTGTGTTACCATGAAAAATTAAGGTGACATTTCTCTTAAATTTTTTTTTGAGGTGACATTGAAATTGAGATATAAGTTCAAGTGACATGTCTTAAAAAATCCCTAATTGAAACAAAGACTTTGGAATTTTGTTTAGTGTATCGCAAGTTACTGCAGTCACTATTCCACTTCTTTAGAATCTAAACTAACAATATGGAGATAGAATAGTGGAGAGATTATGAGCTTGCCAATAAAGCGATGATAAAGAAACAACCTTTACTACAACAAAAGCCGATTCTTTCTCAGTGGTTATAGATTGTACTCATAGTGCAAGAAAGAAGGAACCCAATTCCCTAATCTTCTTCTTCTTCTTTTTGTTTTTATAATACGTCAATCCCTGTGGTGGCTCCAAAGTTGTGCTAAATACAAATCAGCTGACGACCCACAAACCTACACCATCATGTTATCCTCTTCTGCTTGATTCTCATCAGAGGAAACTACTTGCCCTACAAACATTGCGGAAAATTCTCAAACATACTTATATTATTAAAACAAAGGTCAAACCTCAACTCTTGCATTTCATATGGACTTCAAATCCAACTTATGAAATTTCGAAATCTACCAGACTGAAATCAACAGGCAAGCCAAGCAATAGAATAGCCATGTACCTGGAAGCACACAAAAACAACTGGGTTTCAGAAACATAGACTTATATAAAATCCCAAAAAGAAAAAAGATACATAAATATACATGTTTGATACGTACCAATCTGCCAGGATGAGAGCCTCGATCCATAATTATAATTGGCTCCAAAGTAACAATCATTGGTGGTGTTTATCCCATTTGGACAATTACATAAAAAAGAATTGTAAGCCCCTCCAGAATAGTAGCCACAAATCCCATTGCTCCTTTCGCAATTAGGACATGAACTTGGATACTCATTATTCACGCTGAATTTATATTTGAGCGCAATCCCATAGTTCCAACTGTTAGGGTCAGACTGGCGCTCGTTGAAGCTGTAAAACCCAGAATAAGAACTGCATTGCAGTATCTGCAAGTCCATGTCGAAAGCCGGCCCGAGATCAACAGGCGTGTAAACACAACATGTGGAGATTGGGAGGTTGATCGTGCTTATGGCCCTGCAAGAATATAAGAAGCTGCAAATTGAGGTGCCTTGGTTGTCACATAGGGACACTTTGGAGCTGTTGTTTTTATCAGTGTATAGGGTGTTTGATTGGAATATTGGGGAGGAAGAAGTTGAGCAGTCAAGTAAGGCGAAGATGTTGTCATCTTGGAAAGAGAAGGGCGCGTCCCAATCCAGGCCAAAGCCTTTGCTTGGTTGGGTGCAGGAACATGTTGACATGGAGGGGTCTGAGATGTACATGACTTTGTTGGTGTAGTCTATGTTGGTGACAGGGTAGGAGCCTCTGTGCGTTGTGAACATGAGGTTGCCTTGGCTGCATGACACGTACTGGTGGAAGCGCGGGTCGCCGCAACCAAGGTCACTGCCAAATGGGAATTTGAGGGGGAATTTGCCGCAGGATCTTTGGCAGATTTGGGATGAGATTGAGGAGGGTAAGAGGAAGATGAAAATGAAGGAGAAAATTGTTGTTGAAGGACGGTGGGGAAGCTTCATTGTTGAAGGTGTAGAAAGAGAAATTAATAAGATTATTGAAGAGAGGATGAGAAGTGAGGCCTTGAAGTGGAACGCTATATAGCTGATGAGTTTTCACTTTGAGGATTTTAGGAAAAGTGAGATAAAATAAAGAGGCTTCGCCTCTATTAGAGAGATGATCGGTTGAGATGGTACAAATAGCAACGTGAGGAATTTTGTTTAACAGGAATTGGGCTCTCATCACCACTTTCGGTGTCGAATGACTATTGGCTATCTTTTGATGCATCTGCTTTTCCTTATTATTAGATGCCATGTTTCCCCTGTTAGGCTACACACACTCTCTTTATATATGTGTGTATACATATATGGCTTGCTTTCATTGGATCTAACAGTACATGAACCGATCTCCCATGCATTCATTGGTCTCATAATCTCACAAATCAGATGGCTTGTGATCAAGGAGTCTTTTCCATATACATGACATAATCGGACATGTTTAGGCCTTCGTATGTGATATGCACTTCTTTGTCCACTCTGTTGTGATCAACAAGGTTGAAAGACATATAGAGAAGTTAGGATGTGTGATGCATGGTAACAACAACAATGGTCCTTAATCAGAGTACTAACACTTAGTATCATGAGTGTGGAAGGACCTAAATCCAAATATTCTATAGTAAAATGATGCTTTCTTTGTTTTGAGATCCCAATACCTACCCTACCCTACCCTTTCGACCCCAAAACAAGCATAGCCGCAGCTTTACATATAATTTTGAATGTCCATTTGCAAGCTCAACTTTTTTGATTGAGTAATGAGTATATATTCCCAGCATTTCAGCCCCTTATAAAAGATAAGAAAGAGAAAAGAGAAAGGCCAAAAGCATAATGTTGGAATGAACCCAGATTGAAAATGCAGCAATGATGATGATCTCTCATTCATTATTCAACTTTTCCCATTATTTATATCAACCAATTCATCATCAACATTATTTGTTGTTGTTTTGCTGATAACAAATTTTTAATCCTAATTAATTCCCATTAATGCATATAAACTGGGGCATAATTGAGTTGGTAGGGTATTCAAAAATTCAAATTATTACCCAAATGTTGTAACTAATAAGAAAACTTCACATTAATCTAAACTTGTAAATTTTTCATGTGCATATTCCACCAAGCATTCATTCAAGGAGTGTTTTTGTAAACCAAATTTCTTTTTCTTTTTCTCATCTTTATCATATTGTTAGGTTTATGACACTTGATTATATTAAAAATTGTATGAACATTTTTATAAAAAAAAAGACCTAATTAGAATTTAAGTCAACTAGATTTGAAGTAAAGGCATAAAAACGATATGTCGTATAAGCGCATTTATAATTCTAGGCCAGGGCCAAGTCTCTTTTTTTTTTTTTTTTTTTTTTTTTTTTTTAGGTTGGAGAATCAAGATTCCATTCAAAAACTCAAGAAGAGAGTACATCTGCAGAAAGAAATGAGAGCAACCATGTAGGTGCTTCCTCAATCCAAGAAACAAAATCATTACAACTGATTGCAAATTGAGCTAAAGTGTGTGCCACCTTATTACATCTTCTTGGGGACCATTGACATAAGAGCATCCACAGTGGGGGGTGTGTATGGGGGTGTATGTTAAATATACACCCCGAGTCACCGGAATGGTCTCCAATCGTGAGATGTAAATATACATCACCACCATGGGTATGTAAAATAAAATGTATATTTACATCCATTTTTACATCCCTTGCAGGCGGGACCCACCCGAGAAAAAAGAAGAAAAATGAAGAAAAGTCAACATAAAAGGCTGGGACCCACGGCTACACCCCCGAATTTACACCCCCCACTGGAGCAAAAAACATATTTACACCCCCCGGAGATGTAAAGGGAATGTAAAAGTGGCTTTACACCCCCGAATTTACACCCCCCCCACTGTGGATGCTCTAAAGCTATTCTAAATTTGCTTAATAGGCATTTTGCTTCTTCAAATAAAAGATTATTTGTTCCATTGCATTCCTCCACCGAAAGAATACCAGTTATGCATTTTTTTGCATCCATCTCTAGAATGGCACAAGTATATCCAATGTAAAGAGCAAAACACAGTGCTTCAATTGCAACCATAAGCTCCGTTTGCTTGGCCCCATAACTGGCTTGGATTGGCTTAACACACACACCCATAGAGTCACCACACTCATTTCTAACAACTACACCTACCCCACGAATTGAATCCCCATTTTTGGGTGCTCCATCTACATTTATTTTGCGGAGACCTACATGGGCAAGCCTCCAAGAGCAATTTTTTTTGCTTTTCCACTCATTGCCATGACAATACAAGAGCAATTACTATTTACATAGGATTAATTTTATTTATATGTATGAGATTAATAAATAAAAATTTGCTAGGTATGTATAAAAAAATATTCTGAATTTTTTGGTAATTTTTCAGAATATTTTTTGGTGCTTTTTCCTCAAAAGGCAGCTCGGGCTATCTTGCCCGGGCTTGATAGACCCCAGGTCTTGCCTGGGCCGGATGTTACCGCCCGGAGCTGATTATGGGAGACAAGGGGCTTTTTTCCTGGGCTGGGCTGTCCGCTGGAACTGCTCTTACGCCTATGGATATCATGCATCCCACCTCTTGGAATCCATTCGTACAAAAAAATGCTCTCAAAACCCAATATCTTCCAAGAGACCAAAAAACAAACGTGGGCTCATCAGCTATTGCACTCTCCCTCATGTGCCCTCGATTGCTCGTCTGCTGTGGGCGGTCAGGTACTGTTCTGTAGCAGCGGCGTCGTCTATCAGGTACTGTTCTCGCCTCTGGAACTGAGTCGTTAAATCTTTCGTTCCAGATCGATACCGTACCGCCATTGGGTACGCTCGATCCAGATCGAAATTCGTAGGGGGTGAGCGAATTAGGAAACTATGGTTTTGACGAGTGTGTGTACATTGAGTGTGAGTAATTGTTGCTTTACAGGTAATGGAGGAGAGCCGTTGCATCACCAGAATAGGGTCCCCAAAATTTGTCTTGATGGGTTCCTACAGATATGAAGAGGCGCACCATCTTCTCATTCTATTGTTTTCAGAGCTCCTCTCATCGTCTCTTCTTAAGTCTTGCTGTAAATTCTTCGCTATTCTTCTTTAGGAGATGTATAAGCCATGGACTCTCGTCAGGCTCAACAAATACGAGGCCTTTTCCTGACTATTCCCCCAAGAGACCGACCATCAACGATTCCGAACTTGTCCAACGCATCTCCAACACAATAAAGCTTCGCTGCTCTGAGCCCTTACGCCGTATTCTGAAACCTTATGAATCTCAGTTCAGGTCTGATCATCTTATATGGGTTCTCATGAATATTAATAATGACTATAAACTAGTTTTGGATTTCTACGACTGGGCATGCCTACGTAGGGACCCAACATTAGAAGCTCGTTGCGTTGTTGTACAAATTGCTGCAGCATCCAAGGATCTTAAAACGGCACATGAGCTTATTCATAAGTTTTGGGCAAAACCCAAGTTAGATGTTAGTCTTTCATTCACTCACTTTGCTGATCGGTTGATATACACTTATAAGGATTGGGGTTCAGATCCCCATGTGTTTGATGTTTTCTTCCAGGTTATTGTTGAAAGTGGGATGCTCAATGAAGCAAGAAAACTTTTTGATAAATTGTTGAGCTATGGGTTGGTTATCTCTGTTGATTCCTGTAATTTATTTCTTACTCTCCTATCAAGCACCTTTGATGGGATTGAGATGGCAATAAAGTTTTTCAATGAATATTATGAAGTGGGTGTTCATTGGAACACCGCATCATACAATATTATCATTCATTCTCTTTGCCGATTAGGGAAAATAAAAGAAGCTCACCATTTACTCCTGCAAATGGAGTTGAGGGGTTGTATACCTGATGTTGTAAGTTATAGTACTTTAATCAGCCGATATTGTTATGATGGAGAACTACAGAAGGTGTTGAAGCTCATAGAAGAAATGAAAATAAAAGGATTGAAGCCAAATGCCTATACCTATAACAGCATAATACTTCTTTTGTGTAAGACTGGTAAACTATCTGAAGCAGAAGTGATATTGAGGGAGATGATGGCTCTGGGAGTACTTCCTGATAATGTCGTCTACACAACTCTAATTGATGGTTTCTGTAAGATGGGAAAGATTCAAGCTGCATGTAGGCTTTTTGACGAAATGCGGCTTAGGAAAGTTATCCCTGATTACATAACGTATACTGCTATTATTCATGGATTTTGTCAAACAGGGAAGATGGCAGAAGCAGATAAGCTCTTCCATGAAATGGTTAGCAGAGGGTTAGAACCGGATGAAGTTACTTATACAGCACTTATTGATGGCTATTGCAAAGTAGGTGAGATGAAAGAGGCTTTTTCTCTTCACAACCAGATGGTTAGTATGGGGCTTAGCCCAAATGTGGTCACTTATACGGCACTTGCTGATGGCCTTTGTAAACGAGGGGAGGTAGACATAGCAAATGAGCTTCTTCAAGAGATGTGCAGGAAGGGCCTTCAACTTAATGTCTTTACTTACAACTCAATTGTTAATGGCCTTTGTAAATCAGGAAATATAGCGCAGGCAGAAAAATTAATGGAACAAATGCAGGTTGCTGGGCCCCATCCTGATACTGTTACTTATACTACCCTGATGGATGCATATTGTAAGATAAGGGAGATGGCTAAGGCACACAATGTCTTGCGTGAGATGCTCGATAGAGGCCTTCAACCTACAGTTGTGACATTCAATGTGCTAATGAATGGATTTTGTATGTCAGGAATGCTAGAAGATGGTGAGAGGCTACTTAAGTGGATGTTAGAGAAGGGTATAGTGCCTAATGCCGGCACTTATAATTCTCTCATGAAGCAGTACTGCATTAGAAATAATATGCGTACTACAACTGATATGTATAGGAGCATGTGTGCTGGTGGGGTAATGCCTGATAACAACACCTATAACATTTTAATAAAAGGGCATTGTAAGGCAAGGAATATGAAAGAGGCATGGTTTTTGCATAAGGAAATGGCAGGAAAGGGATTTATTCCCACAGCAAGTTGTTACAATGCACTTATTAAGGGTCTTTTTAAGAAAAGGAAATTTGCGGAGGCAAGGGAACTCTTTGAAGAGATGCGGAGACATGGTGTAGTTCCAGATAGAGAAACATACAACATTTTTGTTGATATGAACTATGAAGAAGGTAACATGGAAATTACTCTTGAGCTTTGTGATGAAGTTATAGAGAATTGTCTTGTGGGCAAACCCAAGAATGAAGACACGTAGCTGAATCTTGTGTGGTGCTCTGTTGAGATCTTTTGGACAGAAATTGTCAGTTTGGTTTCTCAGAACTTGCATATCGGGTACTACCATCATGGTAAATTTTCTCAGACCTATGTGTTTAGAATGATCCAAGAATGTTGCACAGTTTTTCAGAAATGATGATGCTGAGTTCTTAATGGTATCATTTCTAGGTTTTTTCTTGTTACTTGATGAATCTGTGCTGCCTATGTTATGAGATATATTTCGCTTTGTTATCCAGGGACCGAGATATGCATAGTACCTGGGTATCAGCATTTGATATAAATTGAAAGATAGATGATGCTGGGCCTGTAAGGACTACACGTTCCATAAACATATCCAAGGAATCTCAAGATGGTTGTTTTGTTCAAACGTTTATCGTTTGAATTGCATCACTGCTAAAATGATAAAAGAATATACACCAGGTACTAATCTCCCCTGTAAAGTTTGGTATCCTGTTTGTTCGTCTATATTTTTATTTTTTTTTACCCTTTTTCTTTCAAGATTTGGCATGGAAGGACGTTTATTTGCGGCTTACAAATGTTTTGTCAGCATTATTCTGATCTGAACTAGTTTGACTGGGTGCAGCAATCAGTGGTAGAGTTGGAGTTGGGTGTTATGAGCGAAGAAAATGCAGGGGCGCTTGCATCCCAGAAAGAAACAACTGAAGCTGCTGATTTTGGGGAGGGCCCGCTTAAGACCGAGAGCCACTGATGAGTGGGACGAATAGTGCTTGTTTGATTGAATCAATTTCGACATTATTGTAAACATAACTTAGAGACAGTTTGGCATTGCTGTGCTGTGAAAATAATCGTTGTCAGATTTGCTGTGAGAAAAATCAGCTGTAAGAGAAAGCAGTTTAGCGTTTGGTAAACTTTTTGTTAGAAGTATTGTTGGTACTGATTCTAGCATAATTAGAAAAAAAAATTGCAGCATAATCATTAAACCCAGCGCCTCTTCGAAACTGATTCCTGCATAATCAGAAAATAAAAGC